AATTCCTGGCTATGCTTGCTCCACTGTGATATCATCCATACCCGTGAGCTTGCCAGAACTTCCTCACATCGAACTCCGGATCCAACTGGTCGGGCAGATTAGCAAAGGCCAAGCTCCGCGTCTCGTCAAGTGTGTAAAGACCAATCAGCCACCCTAAGTCTGCCACAGTAAGGCTCAGCAGTCGACCCATTAGAGTGAATGTGACCTTGGTGGTGGAGGTGACTTCAGCTGTTGACTTTACTTCCTCTCCGTCATTGTGGAAGCGGAGAGAGCAAAGAAACTCAATGGTGACTTCCAGGCTTGCTGGCGCTTGCAGGAACAGCAGGATCCTCCATTTTGGGTTGTACAGAAACTCATCGATGTCCTGCCAGTGCCCTAGTTCATCCAGATAAACAGGGTCTAACACCATGGGAGGCTGGAGCATCTTCGTGTTTCCCCAAGTGAGAAACTTCTTCCTTGCTTCCTCTGAGTGCAAGGTGAGCTCTTCCAGGTTCTGCAATGTGCGGCAGTTTCCATGCGGAGTCATCCAAGCAACATCCATCTGTAAAAAAGTATAACGAGTAAAATCTTGCCCCCTACCGGTGCGGCAAGTAAAATATAAATAAGCATTTTAAATAATTTAATTATCTGAATGACGGGTTGCCTCCCGTTTAAGCGCTTCTTTAGCATCCGTAGCTTGACGCTGACCCACTTTTTCCGCGACTTTCCGATTCGAGAGTCATAAAGTTTGGCCCTTTTGACTCTCTTCTGATGCCACCCTGTTGGAACTTTTGCTCGGTCAAGGTCCAGGATCCTTGACTCATCTCTGCGGCTTAGTGGCAACAGGGTATAAGGAGGAGACTCTGTATAGGTGGGTGGGGGCAGAAGTCTCCTCAATAGATCCACATCGTTAGCCTTGATTGCGAAATTGATTTCTTCCTTATCTTCAATTGGCTGACTATCCATTTGTGGTTTGATGATTATGATCGTACCCTCCCCCAAGGAAGAGTCCTCGTCGTCACTCATTAGAAGTTCATCCCAACTCTTTAAGTTCCAACCATCCTTCAAGCAGACATAGTCATACTCGTCAAG